GGAAGTAATTTAATATTTTTTTCATTTGTAAAAGGAGAGCATTGGCTTGAATGATGCCTGAAATTCCTTCCATCTCTTATGCTCCACAGGCATTATGATTCTCCTACCTCTCTAACTGGTTTATCTCTGCTTCATCCTTTTCTTGACCTCTGTTAGGTGGGTGATTCTCAAAGTACTATCTTTGACCATTTTCTCCTTATAGTCTTTTTATTGAAAATTTCTTTTACTGTCATAATTTGGTCTCTGTTAAGGGCTCCTAAATACTCATATCCAACATTGACCATTCTTTCTGAGTTTCAAACATGCCTCTCCAGCTACCTGCAGCTTAATATATCTAAAGTCAGCATAATATCTTTTCCCCTAATCCTGATCCTTTTTTCAACTTTATTATTTCTATCAATGTGCCCACCTTATCCTGTTTCCCATTTTGAAACTTTGGTATTATATTGGTACTGTCCCTTACCTTTTACATTCAATGAAGTCACCAAGTCTTTTCTTGTATGTGCCCGCTTGTCTCTATTCCCACAGATATTATCTCCATGTAGGCCCTTGTATAAACCCACTTAGATTATTTCAATAACCTAATGAGAGGCATTTCTACATCTATGTTTCCAGTGTATTCCTCACACTGCCACCCAAATAGTCTCCCACATCATAGATATAGCCAATGGTCTGCTCAAGAATCTTCAGTGACTCCTTATTGCCTCCCAAGTAAATTTTGAGCTCCTTTGTCTGAGGTTTTACATGATTTAGTGCCATGCTATATTTCTAGCCTTAACTTATGCAATTTCCTTCCATGCATTTAATGCTACCACTACATGAGATTATTCTTTTTCCTCTAAACAATCCCTATCCTTTCTCACTTCCATACCTTTTTGTATCTATGTCCATATTTTTGGGTTTAAATGTCCTCCCTGGTAGGAGATAATATTTGTAAAAATGCTTAGCACAGTGCCTGGCACTTAAATAAGTAGGCATTTAATAAATAATTATTCCTTTCTCCACGCCCCCCTCTCCTCCCCTCCACCTGCTCTTTGCATTTACTAGGTACTTGCTATGTGCAAAGTACTGTGCTAAGTCCTGGGGATAAAAGAACAAAAGTAAGACAGTCTGCACTCTCAAGGAGCTCAAATTCTGATGGGTGAGACAATACATATGGAAGTTTTTAGCTTCAAGTCAAGTGGGTGGGCCCCATGGTACTTAAGGTGAGGTGGCAAAACAGTTATACTTGTTTTTTAATGCCTTTACCCTGATGAAATCATAGCAGTTTCTGATGTTGCATCATTCTATGGTGCCAAAGGCTTTGGTGACTAGAACTTTCTTTTCTGGGTCTTTAATAGATGTGGTTGCAGTAATTGTCAAATCAATTGCCAGGCTCTGTCATCACAGTGATGATTCTCAGTGATTCCCAGGATGGTGGTTTTCAGCTTTGGGCTAGAAGCATTGTTATTTCCAAGACTTTCAGCTTCAGAGTTTTATACTTTCTCCATCAGGATCAGTCAAAGTGATGATGGTGGTGGTGACGGTGGTGGTGGCGGTTCAACGTGCCTCATATATCCTGACTCTTGCTTCTGCCTCAGAGTACCCTATTGCTTCAGCTAGGCTGACTTGCCTGTCCTGTGAATGGCAGTTGATGAGTATGGTTGGCCTCTTTTCCATGAGAGTTTCCTCTCCCTGGATGATGGCTGTGAGGGTTAGACTGGAAGCATGACCAGTGGTCTGAGGCGTGCTGCTATCCACATATGCTATATACATGTGACACTATTACTTTGTCTAGTTTCTAGAATCAGCTTTCTTTTATTGTTGCTTGGGTAATGTGTCTGGGAATTCTAATCAAACCGGTCTTGTAGGTACTAATGACATATAAACAGCTAGGTGGTACAGTGAATATAGCACTGGGCCTGTAATTAGAAATACCTGAATTCTGAATCTGACCTAAGACACTCTTTGCCTGTGTGATCCTGATCAGGTCACTTAATCTCTGTCTCAGTTTCCTGAACTGTAAAATGAAAATAATGATAGCACCTACCTTCCAGGATTATTGTAAGAAATCAAACAAGAAAATATTTGTAAAGCACTTAGCACCAGTGACTTTCACATAGCAGATGTTTAATAAATGTTTATCTTCTCCTTCCCCAGTAACACTTAAGAAATGTTCATTAAATAAGATTGAATTTTACTAGCTTGTATTTGTTATTGTTGCTAAGTAAGATTTTCCTTTCCGATGGTGGGGAATGCTAGGTAGCAAAGTGTGCTCTTAGGATTCTTTTGCCTTGCTCAGCATAATAACTATGTTCCCTGGGCAAGTAAGTGAGTGATTATGTCTAAGGCACAAAGGTATTAACTTGTCATTTATAGCAAAAATTTTCTGCATTGCAATGTACTGTTTAGTGGGGATGATTATAATGTTAAGTCAAAGTGTGGCTAACAGAGAGAGGCATGCAAAAAGAAAAAAAAATGAGAAGCAGACAGACAGAAGTACAGGAATACTTTGTACCATGTTGTACTATCACATTATAAAAACATTAAAATCGTAACAAAAATTCACTGTAGTCAAATAGGGCACCAAAGCACTTAGGATTTGAATAACAGACAGGGCTAGGCAAGTGGAGAATGCTGGTGTTGCCTTTCAGACTACCTTTTATTCTTGCTCTAATTTGTATCCAGCCAAACAGGAAAGGATCTTGGCAATATATGACTATTGGAATCCTAATTTTGGAACTTCTCTATAACATGAGACCTTGATCTCTACCAAGATAGAAAGGTAGAAAAGGAAAGACCTAATATCAGCCTCAGATCTTAATTTAGATTTTGTTATGTAGGTATATCAGTTATGACAACTAGCAGCCTGTCTTAGTAAGGTTCTAGCCACCATATATGGGAGGATTAGCCTAATGCCAAAAATGATTCCATGTTGGAGCACTAATTGACTAATGTATAGGACAGTAAAGAACTTTCCATTAGGAAAGTTCCTAAGTACTCAACAATTGGCTTAGTCAGCTTCATTTAGGCAAGGAATGAAAGCCCTCCTGAATATAATCAGTTTATCAAACTCTATTAATCTAGGTATGTAAGGTTAACAAACTTTCCTATTCATGTCCTTGTAATCAATAAGGGGAGATCCCAGTCTAGGTCACCCACACTGACTCCCCGCATAATATCCTTCTTCAACTCAGTCCCTGTGAATCTGCCCGGCAACCACAATCTGATATGAGAAGAGAGACCCAAAGCTTTGTGATCTTGATCCCACCATATTCCTGCTACATCACTATCAATGCTTGCCCATGGGACTGGGCCTGGGAAGTTGCACACTTGCATTCCTGTAAGTAATAAACTGCCTGACTTGTGATCCTTTAAACACTTGTATTGTTACTCAGTATCTCACCCACAATCTACTGACTGGAGACTTTAGTTTAGATGACTTGGCTCTGAAGAGAAGAGCTCAGAAGATTATAACAAGGAGCAATGCTTAGCAGAAATCACTTGCCAAACAGAGCAGGAGAAAGAGTAAAGCACAAGTGGAGATTATGTGGGGAGACCAGAAGAGACTTGTAAAACAATATATCCAGCAGAGGAGAATTAAGCTCAGGGTGAGCAGTTGTGATAATGCCATCAGAAGTCATCAGGGGTCCTAGAATGTTGGAAATGTGAATTACCCCTTCACTCATATTCTGAGGTGCAGAGCAGGTTTTGTAGTAAAGATGTCTGAAGAGGCAGCTGGCATTTCGTGGGTTCTGGCTTTGTATACAGCTCTGACAGTCATCTCTATTATGTGATAATTGATGCTGTAGGAGTAGATCACAGAATTTGACAGCTAGAAGAGGCTTCAGCAACCATCTAGTCTAACCAATATGCAAAAGAAATCCCCACCCTAACATATCCAACAAGTAGGTAACCAGCTTCTCCTTGAAGATTTACAGGGAAATGAAAACGCTATCTCCTGAGGTAGCCCATTTCATTTTCAAAATTATTTTTTCCTTTGGATTAATAAGCATTTATTTTCTGTTCCTTGTGTCTCTCTTCCCCTTGGGGGAAAAATAAAACCCTTGTAACAAATAAAATAAAATATATTTTATTTATCAAATAAAACAAATTTCCATATTGACCACATTAAAAAATGCCACATTCTGCATATTTAGTCCACTACCTCTTTTAGAAAGTTGGTAGAATAAATAATCAATGGTCCTCTTGAATCATGATTGGCTTACATTGTATTATTAGCTCATTCCAGTTTATGTGTGAATGACTGATATGGCTCCATATATTCCAATTGTGGAATTTCAGACATTAGTGAGTGAAGATAAGTGAATCTTATTGATGTTCTATTCATAAATTGAGCTAATCCTGAGTACTTGGATACCAGGAAGAGAGGAATGCTGGATTAGGATTTCTTATTTCAGGGAATGGGAAGACTATTCAAAAGGTGTTACAAATATATCTGCCCTCATTTCTACCATGAAAATAAAAAACAATTAGAAGTTCTTATTCTTTATATCACATTTCTTTCAATGCTCATGCCTTGGTATGGTTTTGTTCCAGTGTGTGAAAAGGAAAGATACATAGTTTCACAATGGGTGGCAATTCCATACCTTGGCATATGGGTTAAGTTTGTCAAACAAGAATATCATTTTGGGGCAGCTAGGTGGGGCAGTGGATAGCGCACCGGCCCTGAAGTCAGGAGGACCTGAGTTCAAATCCAGCCTCAGACCAAACACTTGACACTTACTAGCTGTGTGACCCTGGGCAAGTCACTTAACCTCAATTGCCTTAAAAAAAGAATATGTTTTTGGTTAGAAAGAGTTAACTGCTACCATAGATTCTTCTTTCATCTTTCCTTTGAACTGTGCCTAGAATATCTGCCTACTTGACTAATTCACAGGAATAATTAACTGAACAAATCTTTCTTCAATTATTTATTAAATCTCACAAGTTATTTTAGTTTTCAAGGATATGTGAATGATACGCTTTCATCATAATCACAGAACTACACAGCAGCAAGACATGTTCCACCACCTCTTTTTTATTTAGGTTTTGTGTCATTATCACTTCCATATCCATAATTATTGTTCTATGAGAAAAAAGTGCAGGTATTCTCAGTGAAGAGGAATAGATGGTTTCAGCTCAACAAGAGCATTGTAACTGAATCGAATATCTGCTCCTAGCTGACATTTTGATTCCTGATGCTTTTGGACCTCATTAAAAAAGGCAGCAAAGAAATCTTGGTTGTGAACAAATAGTAGTACAATATTTTTTAAATGTGTGTTTCACTGTCCTCATGAGCAGAAGCTTCAAACTGTATGTTATTGTTTAAAGGCTCTTTAAGGTTTGATTCATCCACATCTATTTCCCCACTATTAGAAGATCCATTGTTTTCTCCATATTTTTTCTTCATAATCATGAATAATATGATATTTAAGATGATCACTGGTACATGTAACCCTAAACACAAGGAAAAGAAGATATTTCTGCAAAACAAGATGAAAAAATACAACTTTAAAATTTTTAATTAAATGGAATAATTTATGTACTGTATAAAAGTCTTCAAGGGGATTTACAATAAATTCTTAAATGTAGAAATAATAAAATTTAAATATGATAAAAATTAGAATTATGTTTTATTCCTCTTTCAATGTCTCAGCCAGACTATAGAAGCTGCTTAAAAAAGGATAGTTCAAAAATGGATTTAAGAATTTTTGTCTTTACAAATCAAATATATTCATTCCATAAATTGATGTATTGTCAGTAGAGTTAACTCCTGTGAGAAATAAGTTGGTTCATTTGCATCTGGAGCAAGTTTTAAAGGAATAGGTAATAAATACAGTGACCTAGAGTTCTTAATCGAGCAGGCATATTTTGTCATGATGTCTTTATTCCCTTCCTTCTATTCTTCTCATGTTAGTATATAGGGGTGAAATAATCATTCATTAGATGGTATACATGGTGGAAGATGAGGATGATTATTGGTAGAATAGGAGGGGGATAAAAAGACAAAAACAGAAGCATCAAAGAGAGGTAATCTGCATCAGGAGAGGTGAGACCTCTGGAAGTTTTGCCTTCATTTTTTATAGAAGAGGTGGGACCAGAAAATTGCATAGCCTTAAAGACTTTTACTCAACTTCGGTACCATGGAGTTGGAAGAATCATGAAAAATGGGTAGAAAATGAAGATAGAAGCTGCCACAATATACCTCTTCTTTTTTCTACCTTTGACTAGTAATGACAGGACTTATAGAGAAGTTTCAATCAGGTGAACTTTATACTGAAGACTGTGAATCTGAGAATATATATGATAATAATGGCTAACATTTATGCATCATATCCCCAAAGTTTTAGTATAGTTTTTAGTTCTAACAGTTGAGCACAGTGCTTGGCACACAATATGTGCTTAAAAATGTTAATGGATTGATTAATTATTAAAACTGCCTTAAGATTTCTGGGACACACTGTAGAGTGTTTTCAAGCCTATAAAATGCTTTACATTTACCATTTCATTTGATACTCACAACAACTTTGTGTTCCATTATTATCTCCTTGAAGAAAGTGAAGCTCAAAGAAGGTAAATGGTTAGTCTGGATCCCATAGCTTCAAAGCTAGATTTTAAATCCAGGTCTTCATGATTCCATATCCATGCTCCATCCATGTCACTCTATTCCACATAATTTTCCAACTAATTGTTGCTCATTCATGAAACTCTGTCTTGTTTTATTCTTTTTAATAACACTTATTTTGACCTTCTGGAATATTGTGAATATTGTGCTTACAAGTAGGGAATGAGTTTAGTGGTTACAATGAACACATTTCCCCAGGTCTTATGTTTGGGAATATCAGCCAAAGTGTGTAAGAGAATCTCTCAAGTTGGTTTTGTGATTATCATGATATGAACATCTCTAACACAAGGGGTACATTGTTATCACTGATATGTGGAAAGATGGGACTAATGGCTGCTCTTTGGGTAGGAAAAAGGTACTCCTTATTCAGAAGCAACACATTAAAGGCATGGGGTGATAGAGTTGCATTGCTTAATAAGAAGATATAGTTGGGTGAGAAATCTTTCAACTAGAGGTGAGTAACTTTTATGTGAGGATCATTGGAGAAAAGGAACAATATGGTGCAAATATGTTGTAGCCCACTCAGGAAGAGAGAAGAAATGGAAACATATCACAAATATGGCACCAAAGCAGGAAGCAATAGGAAACAGAGAATTTCAACCATTCAGAACTTATGTAGGAAGAGTCCTGACTTTAGAGTCAGTGAACTTAGGTTCAAATCCTAGCCCTGTTACTTACTACCTATGTGCCTTTTGACATTTATTTTTTCTAGGTCTTAATTTCTTCACTTTTGAAATAATGGGGCTAGGCCAGAGGATATCCATGGTTTAGCTTTAAATCTTTCATCTTATGATTTGACTAAGTGCTTTCTGGGGATGAAAGAAACATAAAATTTTCATTTGCCTTAGTGATCTGAAATTCTTCAAAAGTTGGAAAGAAAAATTGCTATTCTGGGTCTGATTTTGACCAATAAGAAGAAAATGGTTGCCAAAGGGAAAATAAGAGGAATCTTTAGAGAAAGTAAGCATAAACCACAAACTGAATAGAGCATGACACACATCTCAAATTTTGAGAGAATTAGAATTCAGATTCCAGAGAAGCAGAACTAGAATCTAATGGCCTACAGTGGAAGTCAGACCAAAAGAAAATGGGCTACTTTCAAGAATAAAATTCTGAAAGATGTCAGCAAACATTTATTAAGTGTCTACATGTTCTAGGCACTGTTCTTAGTGCTGTGGACACAAAAAAAGGCAAAAAATAGTTCCTATCTTCTTTCAAAGAGGTCATAGTCTAATGAGGCAGACAATAGGTAAACAATTGTGTACAAACAAGCTTTATCCATGATAAATTATAAGTTATAGGGAAAGCACTAGCATTAAGGGAGATCATGAAAGGCTTCTTGCAGAAGGTGAGATATTAAATAAAACTTGAAAAAAGCTGGGGAATCCAGGAGGCAGAGATGAGGAGGGAGAGAATTCTAAGCATTTGAGACAGCTAGTGAAAATATACAGTGTCTTGTTTGATTTACAAAGAGTCCAATGTCACTAGATCAGAGTATATGTGGAGATTAAGGTGCAAGGAGACTGAAATGGTAGGTAGAGGCCAGTTTATGAGATATTTTAAAAACCAAACAGATACTTTTATATTTGAACCTGAGGGTAATAGGGAGCCACAAGAGTTCATTGAGTATGAAAGTGACATGATCAGACCTGCGTTTTAGAAAGATCACTTTGATAGGGGAGTGAAGGGTGGATGGGAGTATAGATAGGCTTAAAGCAGGGAGACTAACCAGCAGACACACTTAGGTGTGAAGTGATAGGGTCCTATAATAGGGTGGTGGTACTTCCAGAGGAGAAAGAGGAACATATACAAGAGTTGTTTCAATATTAGAATCAATAGGACTTGGAAACTGACTGAGTGTAGGGGATGAGAGAGACTGAGGAGTTGATAATGACAACTAGGTTGGAAGCCTGAATGAATAAGAAATTAGGAGGAATGATAATGAGTACAGATTTGGATAACCTGAATATAAGATATCCATGCCATATCCAGTTTGAAATTCCAAAACATGAATTATTTTCATGAGTTAGAGAGAGGGGACTTTAGATTTTGACAAGAAATGTACCAGTTACAGAAGAGACATCAGGTTACTGAGAAGAAATAAAATGGAGTGCTTGATCTTATGAAGTAAGGGCCAAGAATGCTAATGGTGACACTGCAGAAAATCTGAGGCTGGAAATAAGTACTCAGAGCACAAAAAGTAACTCTGTATTTATGGTAGAGGCAGGAAAAAGATGAAAATTCAGAGTGGGTTATCAGTTCGGGTGGCTGGGGTGAGTATAATTGATAATGGAGAAAAGAGGACTACTTTTCTAAATTTTCTTTTTCTGCCAGGTAGAATGAACTTCAGACTGGTTAAAATGGTGCAGAACAGGTCACTTGGAAATTGAAACACAAGATTCAATTCACCTAAACAGAAATATTTACATGTCAAGTCCAAGGCACTGGATACCAAGACAAAAAAATAACCTCTCCCCTTGTGGAAATTTCATTTTATTTAGGGATGGAATAAGTTTTTAGATAAATAAATTCAAAGTTGCTTGACATATACCAGTAGGGAGAAAAAACTAGAAAATAGTAGAGAAATGGTGCGGGATCAGGAAAGAAGGGGACACCTGATCTGACCCTTGAACAAAGACAAAAATTAAGAAAGATGGAGGTGTGAGAAAGAAATGCACATGAAGGACATCCTGTCCAAATTTGAAGGAACTGAAGAAGTCAGGTTGAGTTTTAAGAACAGCCAGAAGTCTATTTTGGCTGGATATGGAATTCTTTAGGTGGAATAATGTATAGGAAATAAGGATAGAGAATTTGATAGAAACTGACTCACAATGAAATCCTGAGAAGTTTGTATTTTATTTTTTTCTCTGAGGCAGGGTTCTTAACATTTTTTTTGTGTGTGCCTATGTGCCATAGACTTTGGCAATCTAGTCAAACCTATGGACCTCTTCTCAGAATATTTTTTTTAATTCATAAAATACAGAAGATTACAGAATAAAGCAATTGTATTGATATTCAGTTATAAAAATATTAAACAAAATATACAGATCCCAGATTAAGAATGATATTGTCATTGACATTGCTAGTGTTAGGAAGATCATAATGGTCATTTGAGGATGGTAGATTGGTGAAGGGAGAGACCGATAGAAGACAGACCAATCATGAGGTTATTATAGTAGTCTAGTAGAGAGATGATTAGGGGCTTAAGTAAGGGTAATGGTCATGTCATGGTGAAAACAAATTGAGTGTGAAGACTGAAAAGTGAGAAGCAGGTAAGGAAATGGTGTAAGAGATGTTCTGATAACAGAATCCACAATATTTGACAATTGATTGAATAGGAGGGTGGAGAGGTGAGGAATAAGGTTGTGAACCAGACTGATTGGAAAGATGGTGATGCCTCTAACAGGACTAAGGAAGTATGTTGGAGTAGACATCGGGGTGGGGAGGTGGGGAATAGGTTCAAAGGAGAGGAGTTACATTTTAAATATATTGATATTGAGATACCAATGGTATATCCAGGAAGATGTGATATCAGAATGCAGACCAAATAAAGATTTGTTGAAAAAAAAGTATACTTTACTTACAAAAAAGACCCAGTGAGGACATAATAGGTATATTAAATATTTGAAGGCATTATCATATGGAAGAGGAATTAGGTTTGACCCATCTGGTCCCAAAAGTAGAATCAGGGGCAATTAGTGCAAGACAAATTTAGGTTTGATGTTGGAGGAAAAACCTTTTTAACATTTAGAGCTATACAAAAGTGAAACGGGATGTCTCAGAAAAAGGAAGATTTCTCCTCAGAGGAAGCCTTCAAACTGAGACTGTATAATTTGCATAGGAGTGCATAGAACTTGGGACATACCTGCTGGCAAGCCCAGAGAGAAGATTAACATTGGCCCCACCCTTGAGTGTAGTGCAAGGCTTCTCAAACTGTTTCATGCCTAGTGTCCCTGGAATTTCAGAAAATCTTCCAGTACCCCCAATTCAACAAAAAAGGAAATACATTCAAGACCTTACCATATATAAAAAATAAAATAATTAAATTAAATCCTTATGAGCTGATTTAGTAAGAATGTGACACCCTTTCCCAAAGGTACACCAAAAAGTTTCATAATTTTGTTAATTGGAAATAAGTTCAAAAATCAGATCAAAGTATTCTCCATGACCACTGGACAAGTCTTTCATACTGGAGTACATTAAGTTTGGGTTGGGAACCCCTGATGTAATGAATTGAGTGTTTGAGGGGATTGAGAAGGGTATAATTATAGCTCACTCCAGGGTGCTGTAGCACATACTCCATGTCTGTTTATGATGTCTGTTTATCAGGTATGTTATAGCAGGAATTCCTTTTGGAGTATGAATTGGACTAGATGGCCACTGAGGTCTCTCCCAAAACTGAAATTCTCTGATTCAGGGACTATGCCCAGTAAGAGGTTTGTGATGGGTAACTGAAGCCCAGGAGAGAGATTAGGGCTGCCTAAATAATTGGTAGCTATCTGCATGAAGATGACTCTGAAATCCCTGAGAGTAGAGAAGATACCCAAATAAGAAAGTGTGCAGAGAAAAGAGACCTAGGGATAGCCATGCTGACATAGCAGAAAAGAGAGAAAGGTCCAGCAAAGGAGATTGAGAAAAGACCCATCTAACAGATCAGAATAGAACCAGAAAAATATAGGATCATGGAATAACCAATGTTCATACAACTCTTTGGGGTTCACAATGCATTTGATGTACATTATCTCATTTGATCTTCACAGCAATCCAGTAGTGGTATTATTATCTGCATTTTACATACAAGGAAACTGGGGTTCAGGGAGATTAAATAACTTCCCCACATTGATATAGCTAGTGTCAGAGGTAACATTCAAACTCATATGTATTCAAATCTCTTATGGTTTGCCATGAGAGCCTAGATCCACTGAAAACCAGAATCAATGATCTATATTTAGTGTTTCTATTTTGGTCCAAATAGCTGTATCATTAGCATATCTCATCAAAATTTTAACTTCTTTGTATTTTGTATTTGTAAGAGATTTAATCTGTTAGAGAGTGATCTACCCGTTACTTGTCATTCTTTATAAGTGAAATGCCTGTGTTGCTACTTTTAAGAAAAAATACTTCTAATATACCTGTTACACTTGATCATCTAGAGAATTCCTCCTTTATCACATGGTTTAGTAGAGGTTATGCAAATTACTTTTTTTTGCTGCCAACTAGATGGCTATGAACTTCTTGTTTTTTGTATTTGTGGTAGACACCTATTCATTGTGAGGAATCCTTGTTACTATTACTGCACTGAGTCTCCTTTACTGACTCACAAAGAGGAGTTTCATTTGGCATGACAGATATGTAAATTCTTCACTACATTTCCTGTTGCTTATAGTTCTAGGGTAAATACCAACTTTGACACAACCAGTTCAGGATTAAGGGTCATTTTATAACCCCTTACAAGACACCTTTTAAGGTGTTTTGCCTTCTAACATACGCAATTGTGCACTCACTTTTCTAGCTAAACTGGACTGTTTGATCTCATTTTGCCTTCTTCCACCTTAGAAGGTAAAGAGGAATGGCCTTCCTCATGTTGAGTCTTTCTTCTACCCATCAGCTCCAACCAAAGCTGTAAAAGGGCACCCATCCTTGCCTTTCCTTTACCCCTCTTCTGACTCCTAGACCACCCTGAACTGATGGGAGTCTGGGAGACTGAAGACCATTAAAACTTACTGTCTGCCACTGTGCCCTAGATAATAGATAGAGATAGATAATTTCTATCCTCCCTACCCCATTATTTGGCTTGTTGATGAATCCTGAGTAACCATGTGGTTCTTATTATCATCTTCTTATCCTTGCACTCTTAGAACTTCCAGGCTGTCTATCAGTCCTGTAGATGAATTCTTTTTCATACATTTTCTCCCACAGTTGGAGTATGAGCTTCTTGAAAGCAGGCACTATCTCACCTTTTCCCCTTTGTATCTCCAGTACTTATCCTAATGCTTGCCACATAAAAAACACTCAACAAAATTCTTGTTCATTAATTAATTAATTAATTAATTCATTCTTCCAGCTACCATGGATCCCCAATTTCTGATAACTGAAATTCTTCACCTGTGCCAAAGTTCAAGTTCCACTTTTATTTCCTTCTTGATGTTTACTTTCGTTTCCTCTCTTCCCCTTAGCTAGAACTGATCAATCCTTCCCTATCACTCTGACTTTTATGCATATATTAATTTTTTTACATGTGTTAAAGTGATATGTTAAGTAATCTCAATCTTCCTTCTACTCTGTAACTACTATAATAGCAAGAACTTGTCATTTTTTCATCTTTGTATCCCCAGAACTTAGTACAATATCTTGCATGTATAAAATACTTGAATAATCTTTATTGAATTAAATTGAATTAATTTATAATTCTCTGAGGTATGTAGAGCAGGAACTATATCTTATTTTCAGTAACAAGGAAACCAAGTTATTGAGAGGTTAAGTAACTTGCCCAAAGGCACACATTTTCTGGAGTACAAGGAAAAAATCAGATATTTTAATTCCTAGCCTTTTTCTAGTGATTTTTAAAGTGAGGTGATATATATAATGTGAAAGTACTTTGTATGTTATAAAGTACCAAATGTAAATTACAATTATTTTTTCCATTAGAATATATTATCTCTTTGTAGGGTAGAAAGAATAAGAATATCTTCATGCCTTCTGTGAATCAACAATTCCAAGGAAAAAAAATGGTAGAATGGAATTCTCTATTGCCATCAGTTCTGTCTTTGCCCTTTCATCCAAGATTCCTGGATAGAGTGTAAAATGTACTCAACTTGGTCTTTCTCAGCCCTTTCAGACAAACTACAACAAATTGAACATGCCTTCAATATCAAATGATAGCATAATTTCATTTGTTTTGAATAAACAGAGTCATTGGTAAAAACTTACATGATTTATGGAACCTCTTAATATCAACTTACCTATATGATATGGAATCATACATTCTACAAGCTCCTTTATCTCCACAGTTATTGGTGGCCCATTTCAAACATGATGAATCTATTGCTGCTCCAAAATAAATGGGAGCTAGAATTCCTCCTGTAATAAACAACCAAATGCCAAATTAAAACAGGGGTTCTTAACCTTTTTTGTATGTCATGGACCCTTTAGCAACCTTTTGAATTCTTTAGATCAGTTTTCAAAATATGAGTTTTTTAAAAGTATAAAATAAATATAGAAAATTACAATGGAAAATAATTATATAAAAACACATCCATTAAAAAAAACAGGTTTACAGACTATGGTTAATAACCTCTGAAATAAAGGATATATTTCAGAACCAACTGTGTTCTATTCTAAATTTGAATAACAAAACAGATTTCTTGATTCTATCCCTTTCACTTCCAAATGGATGAGAAAACTAGGGCAACAGTTTACATTGAAAGTATCAGAGATTATAGGAGACTAAACTATCATCTATAAGGTGTGATTTGAGTAGTGCCAAAAGATTTTCCTTGTTTAAAAAAATCAGCAGCCTGTTATGCTATCATGAAGTAGCATCCATGAAAATACAAAGAAAGGAAAGAAGAAAAGAAGGAATGAATGAAGAGAGTAAAGGATAGTGAGAGGAAAAGAGAGAGAGAGCAAGATAAAGAAAAGAGAGGAAGGGAGAGGGAAAGAGAGAGAGAGAGAAGAGAGAAAGAGAAAGAGGGAGAGACAGAGAGAAACAGAGAAAGAGATACACAGAGAGAGAGAGAGACAAAGACAGAGACAGAGACAGAGAATCAGAGAACACACATGGCAAATGATCAAGTTCTACCGATTTTTCTACATGAGGCCTTTTCTGTTGCTTCCATTTCCTTGTGTTCTCTCACTCTTGAAATTTCTTTGTATATCCCATATTATTTAAACACAAAGTTGAAAATTTTAAATGGAGAAAAGGACAACAGAAATGACATCCACATTGACTAATAATTTCATCTAAATGTTTAACAAATATAATTAACTTCCACAACAAGGAGACCAGAAAGGAACTCAGAAAGCCTCCTTAGTTAGCAAATATTTCACTTGCTTGCCAAATCAAGAGATGATTCCCAGAGGCCAAGCATTTCTAAATATAAATTCATTTGTAAAATTTTATGAAGAATGATGGATAATTATGAGCAATGTCATCCCATAAAACAGCAATGCATGGATGATAAAACAGTTTTAAAGAAAGATTTTGTAAAATATTTAGGTAATAAAAATTATCTAAAGGACATTCAAGTATGAAAATTGAAGGACTAAAAACAGAAGAAAAATAAACAAGATTTGAAAAAAACATTTGGACAAAGTTTTCTCCATCAAAGATCACAGGACTACCATGCTAACATCATAGTCTCAGATATGCTAATAGGGAAGGAAGAAATGTGAATAGAAATGAGAACAAAAGTGGGAAAAACAGTCAGATTGGACCAACTAAGTCTACAGGAGATTCATACTGCAAACACTTATGATATAATTATATGGGAGAAACCAATATAAAAGGTATATAAAGGAGTGAAGGATACCAAAGGCATGGAAAAATCCTTGGAATAGAAAATAGCCATGATGGCAGAATAAAAGGAAGCAGTATGGCCAAGTTCTGCATCCCAACTACTCTAAACACAATCTGAGAAGCAAAAAAGATTCAATATAGATGATAAGTAAATAAAAGTGAAATTACAATGGGTTACCTTGTCAGCTCTAGATCACAAGTTTGACTTAAAGGTAAATGACCAGGGCAAAAAATGTGAAATGGTGCTCAGCCAGGATTACAGCGCCCAGATCTCAGAGCTAGGACAACATTTCAATTGATGAAATTCCTGCATTAAAGGCATAGATTTTGTTCCTAGAGACCTGAGCTAGGGCTGCAGTGCAGGATTTCTTAGAGGTGTTCAGAATGACAACTCAGTGCCAAGAGCCCTAAACAGAATATTTTATATCAGAGCAGATTGAAGATGCCTGGGTTCCACTGGGGGTGGTAATGTCAGGATTACTGATTTGGTTGCCAGAGTCCCTAGCTAAGCTTGCAAAAAGGATCACCCAGAGCAGAATGTTCAATGACTAAACAAAATAAAATAGTTTTGAGGCCTAGGTGCCTAAGACAAAAACCAAGAAGAAAATAGCTCCCAAATGCCAATAAGCAAAACCTCAAAGAAAATCACAACTTGCCCACAAGATCAATTGGAATTCTTAGAAGAAATAGTGCAAAGGTTTAAAAATGACATTATAACCAGAATCCAATGATATATTGTTTACAAGTGTGTCTCTCTTTCAAGTGTGTCTTGAAAGATAGACACACTTAGAGAGTTAAAATAAGGGGCTGGAGCAGAATCTGTTATGCTTCAGCTGAAGTAGCAATCATGATCTTAGACAAAGCAAAAGCAAAAATAGACTTAATTAAAAGAAGTAATCAGGGAAACTGCTCTTAGCTAAAAGGTACCATAGACAATGAAGTCATTTAAAAAAAATTTGCCTCAAGTTTCTCAGATAAAGGCCTTGTTTCTCAAATATATAGGGAGATGGGTCAAATTTATAAAAATAAAAGCCATTTGCCAACTGATAAATAGTCAAATGATATGAATAGGAAGTTTTCAAAAGGAGAACTCAAAGCTATCTATAGTCATATGAAAAAATACTCTAAATCACTATTGATTAGAGAAATGCAAATTAAAACAGCTTTGCACTAATACCTCACACCCATCAGAAATGACAAATGGTGTAGGGGATCTGAGAAAATAGGTAAACTAATGAACTGTTGGTGGAGTTATAAACTGGTCTAGCTATTCTGGAGATTAATTTGGAACAATACCCAAAGGTCTAAGAGACTATACATATACTTTGACTCAGCAATACCAATACTAGGCCTATATCCCAAAGAGATCAAAGGAAAAAGAAAAGGATCTTTATGTAATATGTACATACACACACACACACACACTCACACACACACACATGCATGTATATATATACATATATATGCATATATATACATATACATGTACATATATTATATATATGTAATAGTTCTTTTTTTGTGGTGGCAAAGAATTAGAAATTGAAGGAATGCCCATCAAATAAGGAATGGTTGAACAAGTTGTAGTATATGATTATGACAGAATACTATTGTACTATGACAAATGATAAGGGGGATGGTTTCAGAAAAACCTGGGAAGAACTACATGAACTGATGCAAAGTACAGTGAGCAGAAACAGAAAATCATTGTACACAGTAATGGTAATATTGTAATGATGATCAATTGTCAAAGACTTAGCTACTCTGATCAACAAAATGATCCAAGACAATTCCAAAGAACTAATGATAAAAAATGCTATCATTCTCCAGAGAGAGCATTGATGAACTCTGAGTGCAAATTGAAGTATAATTTTCTCTCTTTACTTTTCTTGCTTTTTTGTGACATGGCTAATGTGGAAATATGTTTTGCATAATTTCATACATATAATTGATATCATATTACTTGCCTTCTCAGTGTGTGGGTGAGGTTTTGGAGGTAAGGAGAGAATTTGGAACTCAAATTAAAAAAAGAAAGTTAGAAATAAATAAATAATAAAATTGAAATAAAAAAATTACATAATTGAAATGAGAGTAGTAGAGGGAAGAATTGAAAAAGAAAATGAAGGTTATGAAGAGATTGAAAAAAGAATAAATAGCCTAGCACAAAAAGTACCAAGTCATTCTAAATAACATTCTCCTTGAATAATAGTATGGATTAAATAGGATCTAATGAGTCCATGAGACAATTGGAAATATTAAAATAAAATAAAAAATAAAAGAGGAAGTATATATAAAATATATATAAAATTAACTAATAGAAATAATAAGATGAAATAATAAGAGTTGCTGGGCTACTTGAAAGGCATGACAAAAAAGAGCCTTGACATCCTATTTTTATTTTTTTTGTTTTTATTTTTGTTTTTGGTTAGGCAATGGGGTTAAGTGACTTTCCCAGGGTCACACAGCTAGTAAATGTTATGTGTCTGAGGCCAGATTTGAATTGACATCCTATTTTTAAAAATCATGAAAGAAAACTTCTCAGCTCCTTTTAGACCAGAGGGCAAAGTGAAAAAAAAATCTACATTAACTTTTTGAAAAAACCCAAATGAAACCTTCCCCCTAACATAGCCAAAATCTCTAGGTTTTGGGTCAAAGATAACACTGTAAGCAGCTAGGAAGAAAATGTTCAAGAATTGAGGAGCTACCAGGAGGATCACACAAGATTCAGCAGTTATTGCTCTAAGGGAGTGGAGAGCATAGAATTTGATATTCTAAAAGACAAAAAGATATTACAACTAAGAATGACTTACTCAGCAAAACCAAGCATAATTTTGAAAGGGAAGAAAATGGATCTTTGATGAAATAGAGAATTCAAAGCACTCCTGAGGAGAAAACTAGAGCTGTGTAGAAACTATGAAAAAAAAAACACAGGAGTAAAGAGAAACATAAAATGGCAAATACATCAGAACAATTAGAAAAAAAACTTTTTCAAAGTTGAAGTGTTCGTGGGAAGTAATGTAGGAGGATGATGCAAGCATCTGCTGAGAATTGAAATGTCACAGAAGTCATAGAGGGAGTCAAATAAGATCGATTGCCTGTTAGTTATTTTTGTTATGCTTTTATGATATCAAAAGAAGAATGGAAAGAGAAGGGAAAGGATCCACTGAAGAAGAAAAGTGGAGGAATGGATATAGGGAGTTTATTTCACATAACTGGGGGGAACAAGAAAAATATCTATACAAATTAAAAAAGGAGTTGGCCAAGTGCATTTGATTTGAACTTCACTTGGAACTAATGCTGAGTAAAGTGATCAGAGCCAGGAAGACAACTTAAATTGTAACAATGTCAATGTAAAAATAAATAATGTTGAAAGATTTAAGAGCTCTAATCAACAAAAAGATAAATCATGATTCCCAAGGGCCATAATTTAGAATGCTACTGACATCCTGAAAGACAAGTGATGGATTAGATATGCAGAGCTGCATTTTTGGATGTGGTGAACATGGGAATTTGCTTTGCTTTACTGTTTATAGGAGGGATTTTGTTTTATTTTTTTTTCCAA